TTAGTTTCTGCAGCCAATGCCATGTGTCTATTGTTTCCTCTCACTTGCCTCAGTCCTTGCTGCCTTGTAGAGTGTGTGGCTACATTCATTGCAAAGTGTTAACTCTTGAAGGCTCAGCCATGTGTTAGTTCATCATTTAGTTGCAAAATGTTCCTGGGGGAAAATTCCAAACTCTGACTCCACCACCTCAGCCAAGCTTACCAAACATTGCTGTGTGTAGTATTGTTTGTTTAAAATTGTTTAAGACTTATACTGTCCATATATATACTGTATTTTGTCTATTGAAAAAAATTTCCCTGGAACTTAACCCTTCCCCCACCCCATTTACATGAATTCTTATTGGGAAACTGGATTCACTTAACATCATATAGCTTAAAGTAGCATTTTAAGGAACATAACCACAATGAAAAGTGAGGAATTACTGTATCACAATGCCGTGGCAGCAGATGCTCAGGAAAGAGCTCTGTCCTATTACAATAATTTGAAATCAATACCTGCAGTTAAATCTACCATCAAACCAAAAAACAAAGCAACCCACCACACACTATAAGAAGAAAAGATTTAACAGTTCAGTGACGATTCAAGTGCTACCAAAATGGCTGTTTTCATCATTTTTCCTTTTCCCATCTTTATTCAAGGGTGGAGTTACGACAGCAGCGGTGCGTTACCGGGACATGGCTTGCTTTTCTTCCCGTTCCCCAGACTGGAACGAAGGGAAAGTATTTGCATTTTGTGCATGCCTTTCACTCCTGGTTGGTGAAGGGAGGGGGCAGAGGAGTAATTCATGGAATGCAAGTACTTTCCCCTCGCTCCCTTATCAGAGGAATGGGAGGAAAAGCAAGACACCTCCCGTTATGCACAGCTGCTGCCCATCCTGCCCTCCCGAAACTCCACCCTTACCATTACTGTTTTTGTGATGGTGTAAAACTTTTCTTGTGAATGGTAATGTGAACAGAGGCTCCTGGTGTTTCTAGATTTAATGTTACATTCGTCCACATATGAGTATCATTTTTCAGGGTCCAGGAGGGAGGTTAATAACCATATTTCTTAAACTTTATTAATGCAAAAATAGGGTTTCCTTCTACAGTATCATTTGTCAAGCTGGACTTCATTCTCTTGGGATTCATTAGCACAATCTCTTGACACGGGCGGTAACACCAGGTATAGGCAAGCTGCTTTCTCATTTGCTGTAACATTGATGCCTATGTCATAGCTATTTAAAAGCAACCGTATAGGTATTTAATGAGACTATCAGCAGAAAAGAAACACAAAGCTATTACCATATATTTACAGCCATTCTTGCTGACCAGTGTGACTGTATATCAATAAAAGTGCCACGATTCCATGTTCATATCATACATCAAAGCAACAGAGCATAAAGATGATGCCTTAGTACAATACATCACCAAACCCACATTACTCTAATGATATACACAGTGAAAAACTGACCAGAGGGAATATTAGCTGAAGTCTTTGCTCTGTAAAATTGGTTTTGAATTATTAGCCGTGCTGTTCCTAGCACCAGGCCACGATTCTAATAAAGCCATAATAAGGATGTGGCTATTTTCCCCCTCTTCACTTTATTAGATTTAGCTAGTATTACTATTATTACAGACATATTTCGTTGATTATATCCCTAATTGGAATTTCACACATCTACACAGTAGCCCTCGCACCCTGACTCATGTAACCAGGCAATGCTACAGTTCTTTTGGCTAACCATGACATCATTGTGAGTAACATCAGAAAGCCTGTGCTCTACTTCTGAGCCATCATCTTCACAATTATAATTCCAAAATGGCTGTATGCCTAGCACATATGCAGGCCTGCCTATGGAGTTCGGGGGGGAGGGGCACCTGTCCAGGGGCCCAACTATTCAAAGGGGCCCAGGGCTCCCAGTCACTGCCTCTGCAGTAGCAACAGCAGCAGTCGCTGGAGCCCTGGGACCTTTGAATTACCACCAGAGCCGCAAGTAATGTGTTGCAGAGCTCTGGGTGGCATGCTTAAGACAATGCAGGGTGGGAGGGGAGCCGCAGAATGGGTGGTGGCTGAGGTCTAGCTGCCCTGACCCCACCCCTTCCAAACAAGACCACACCCCTTCCGAAAGCACAAAGCTAGCCCTTCTCATACAGGCCATCAAGTCTATCAGCTTGCCTGCACCTATATGAGCAGATGCAGAGAGGAAAAAAAAACTTTTCATGACACGTGGGGGTGGGTGGAAAATGTAGCTTAAAAGTTGGCCCACAAAGTCCTCCACACTGTATGTGCTACTTTCTGTAACTACACCAGCCTTTGTTCTGATGCCACAGACTGCAAGAGAAGAAGTTCTAAAAACGTTCAGGCATCTCCTATAAAATATACTCTTTTGGTAACAGTGGGAAATGCTTGCTTTTGGGGCTTACTTTTGGGTGTTTTTTTTTAAACCAAAACATTTCTTAAAAACCCAAAATATTTTTCGTTAACATTTTAAATGTTATTTTTACTCAAAACTTTTTTTAAACTAAAAGTCCGTCAACCACATCTACTGTTTATTTTGTGTCTGCAACTGTTTCTGGGTATAAATTTAGCTGATTACAGGTGAGATTTTCTTAAGTACTCAGAAATGGCTGAATTATGTTCCTATTGAAATCAATGGGCGTTTTATCATTTGTGTGACTGGGAGCAAAGTCTGGTCTATACTAAAAGCTATTGTAAATACCATCCAAGCTGTCTGAGCTCCCAGTTATATCCATAAATCAGTTACTTGGCATTAGATTATATCTTGCAACTTGATTTATGTGTCCAGATCCCTATGCCTTTATGAAATCCTTCTGAAGTTAGTGGTAGCTCTGTGTTTTAGTGATCCATTTGGTCAGCTCCTGCCTGGATTACATTTGTAATAAACCTGCAAATGCAAAAATGGATATCCTCTTAAAGAGGACAAAAAATGGCCTTAGGTATTTTGTTTCCTCGTGGATCTCAAATCCAGTCTTAAGTTCAAAATGTTTCAGGTGGTGATGCATCTATTGATGATACTCTGCTTGAATATTATAAGAGATTAAATAGGTGTCAGTAATTGTCAGAACTGCACCATCATAGATGTTACACATTCCACACAGAGCTGAAATTTATCTACTCTAAATATATACTCTGTACTGATCAAATGGGAAAAAAATGTTCACTTTTCCTTGCTTTAGCAAATTGCTTATTATAAATTTGTATGATCTGCTTTTTCTGGAGCATGATGTACTACAAATAGCCTGGGGTTTTATGACCAATCCCTTATGAATTATGTAGAACAGAGATACAGATGGAGACAAATAGGAGAGAATTCAGATTCAGTATTCCCTACAGATTTCCTCCTAAATGTCTCACAAACTGGATAAGAGAGGATCAGCCTCAACAGCTCATCTGCATTCTCAGGCACTTAGGATGTTATGCACATAATTCTTAATTTCCTAACATATTAAGCTTTTACCAACAAAGATTATAAATTAAAGCGTATTATTTCCAACACCATGCCCAGGGGAATTACTCATGTAAATTCTCAGATGAACTGAGATGAGCAGAGGACTCCAGAGAAAAGTGATTAGAAAAATTAAGAAAGTCTATTGGTCTGAAAGGAACCTAACAAGGGCTTTCATATTAACATTGAGCCAAATTCTCTAACTTCAACAGTGTTCAACTAAGGATGAATATGGCCCTTTGTATTTCCAAGAGTTTGCAAAATAATCCTTGCCAATATAGAACATTACAAGTTCAATTAAAACTTGGGTCTAAAGACCTGGTATTAAGAACCCGTACATTCATGATTATCGCAATTATAATTTAGACTAACCTTTCTAAGTCAAGTCTCAGAGGGGTATCCATGTTAGTCTGTATCTGCAAATATAAGGAGGAATTCTGGGGCACCTTAAAGATTAACAGATTTATTTTGGGCATAAGCTTTCATAGGCAAAAACCAACTTGTCAGATGTACTGGAGTGGAAATGACAAAGGCAGGCATAAATATACTTAAGTATATTAAATATACTTTCAGAAATGTGTGGCTGAATTGGAAAGAGTCCACAAAACTGCAACAAAACACTACACATAAGTATATTTATGACTGCGTCTGTCATTTCCACTTCAATGTATCTGACAAAGTGGGTCTTTGCCCACAAAAGTTTATACCCAAATAAATCTGTCTTTCAGGTGCCATAGGATTCCTTGTCTTTCCAAGTCAAGAACTCTGGGCCTGATTCTTGTTTACATTAAGGACTTTTTAAACTCAAAGTATTGATGGCTCTTAAAGTAGGTGTAAATATTAACTTACTCCAACTTAGGGTTGCCAGGTGTCCGTTTTTTATTCATGGCCCATGTCCGGTAAAACCAAAAAAAAAACCAGAAAATACTGGACATGTAAAATGGACGGAAGGCTGGGGTGGGGAGAGCAAGGAGATTTTTAAAGGACCCTTTGTTTTTGGTTCAACAACTTTGGTTGGTCCCCAGGGTTTTTTTTGCTCAACCAATTTTTTTCCTGCCATGTTCTGGATTTTTTGTGAAAGCAGCTGGCAACCCTACTCCCACTTACAACTTTGACAGCGTAAAGAGATCTTTAAGTGGCCTTAGAAGATTTGAACTGTGTTTGGCTCATTATTCTTGCCATGCTAAGAAACTCTGGCTTTGATTCATAAAGATACTTAATCACATCAATGATGAAAAAGAGGGGACACTTCTTGTGAACACTTTTATGATTTTTTCCCAATTTTTCAACCAGCTTGGAAGTTCATAAATGCAACACAGTTAGGACAGAAACACAAGTGAGACAACTATTTTGAATATCTTGATTTTTTAAGTTCTATTCACAACAGATAAGTTGTCAAACTATGCAGGTTATAAAAACATTTTATTTCACTGGAAAGTTTGTCTATGAAGTAGCAACAAAACTAAGCATTCTTGGCCTCTAAATATCTGTGGAAGCAGTGTAGAATTATGAACTCAACAGAAATTTGATAAGCTTACAAACATCCAAATCTTACCTTGTGATAGCACCTGAAATAGGCAGCACGCTCATCTGAAAACTTCTCCAGTCGTTTTGGCCCTTTGCTTGAAGCTTTCTTGAATACTAACCAGCATCTCTGATAAATCTGGAAGCAAAAAAGAGTAAGCTTGGCATCTCCAATGATTTGAATATCATTGACATTTCTTAAAATCTTTTCTTTGTTATGCTTTAGCTTGTAAATAATTTACAAGTCACAAACTAGTTGTTGCTTATAGTAAAAATAAAACATTCTACCCACCATGGATCTTACATAGATTTACTGAAATCAGAAGAAACTGAAGGTACTGAAGACATATCCAGGGGAAAAAAATCTTTGTTGATTTGATTCAGATCATAATACAATGGTATGAAGAAAAATCTTCAGAACAAAATACTTGCCTGATCATTTACTTTAATGCTAACCACTAGAAACCATGATGCAAAATCGTGGACTTGCTAATTAAATATAATTTCTGATCCCAGGGGATCAATGCTATCGAGAGAACAGCTGAATTATTTTTATTTATACATATTGCATTATTATAGGTGAGTAATTAAAATAGATATTGGATTCAGTCTTGCTACATGTACTTCAGACAGTGACTTTGTAAAATCTTGATTCGAGCAGAAAGGCATCTATGGAACTTCCCTAACAAGGACAGGAGACCTCATTCTGTGTTTCAGAAGGGATTGGAAAAGTTACTGCACAACACAAGAGCAAAATCACTCAAGCATCCTGGAATCTAGAACCAAAGGGTGGAACCAATGAAATCAATGGGAATTTTACCAGAATTTTGCCATTAATCTTCCTCTTATGTTTGCTGAATTCACCTGAATTTTTCTTTTGAGTTTCTTTTCTACTTAATGAAATACAAGGGAAGTCAAAAGAGTTTTTCATAGAGCCCCCATGAACCTACCCATGTGCCACTAGCCTCTCCATCTACTGCTCTATTTCTCTTAATCTGTCCCCCTCTAAATTCAATTTTGACACCCTTATTATAATTAATTGTACTATGGTTGCATCTGGGGGTCAGCCAAAATTGACACACTTTCCAAAAATGTGTGGCTAAGTTAGAAAGAGTCCCCAGAACAGCCACAGAAGTGATTAAAAGGTTAGAAAACTTATGAAGAAAAGGTTAAAAAAACTGGGCTTGTTCAGTCTTGAGGAAAGATGACTGAACAGGGGACCTGATAAAGTCTTCAAATATGTTAAGCCTCTAAATACTAAGGCCCTAAAATTGTGATACCCCTCAAAATGCATTCACAGGAAAAGTACTAATTTTACAAATTTTACAAATTTGCTTGTGTGATTCACACACAAAACTGGACGTCAAATGAAAAATCTCATTTTTAAAGACGACAAGGAATGCTAACGTTAAAAAGTCATCACATTTTCCATATATTCCCCTGCCCTTTATCGCAGATTAAACGCATCTCAGACTTGCATATATTTACTCATAACACAAACAGGAAATGAAGAATTGTAAACGGTAATATCAAGAGCTTTGATACCTCTATTTTTAAATATTTATAATCATGTATCAACTATGTCACAATTAAGCCAGGGGTGGGCAATAAGCAGCCCATGGGCTCAACGCAGTTTGCAAGGATTAATCCCCGGTGGGCTGCCAGACGCTTTATTTACCTGTGCGCCTGCAGGTACGGCCACTTGCAGTTCCTGTGGGCCATGGGTCACTGTTCCCAGCTGTGAGAGAGCTGCAGAAAGTGGTGGCCTAGTTCATGATGCTCCAAGGCCAATGGGAGCTGCAAGCAGCCATGGACGCACAGATAAATAGAGTGTCTAGCAGCCTGCCAGGGACTAGCCCTGGTGAATGGCCTCTGGCCCGTGCGCTGCTTATTGCCCACTCCTGACTTAGGCCATGGTTTTGCATGACTTTGGCAATTCTTATACATAGAACTTCTAATCAGTTTACAGTGTTATTGCGGACAGAAGATAAAATGTGTTAGAAGATGTAAATAAAGAGAGAGTTACAAACATGTAAGGATATATTTAACATCCTCCCCCACTTTTTCTAGGAAGACCCAGGGCACGGTGACACAATGTGACCCACAAACTGCAAACCCAGCAGGAAAAATACAGATGATGGGTAACTTGAAGCTTGCACATGCATAATATATGGATTACCTAAAATCCAAAGGGCCGATGTGCTCTAAACCAATGGGACAAAGATTAAGTAATTAGTAACAGAGAAATATATAAAAGACCTAAGTGAGCATAGCCCCTAACCAGAGAAACTCCAAACCAGAAACAGAGGAACGGGACTAAAAGACCAGGACCAAGGACCAGACGAGACCAAGGAAAGGTGGAAGAATATCCCAGTGCTCCAAATAAATTGATAAATTGAAGCCATTTATCAGTTCTGTCTTGTCTGGAATTATTTGCCTGGAATAAATAAATGTCCAAATGGCATAAGAGACAGTAACAATCAAAAACTGTACAGGGAAAGGCAAAAATTCATTGAGCCTAAATTGGGCAGGGGGATTGTGATTTGGTTTCTCAACTTTTACTCTCAACAGCTGTTATAAAGGGGAGCATGATCAATTGTTCCCCATGCCCAGTGAAATTAGGAAAAGTAGACACATGCTTAATCTGCAGCAATGGAGATTTAGGTTAGATATTAGGAAAAGCTTTCTAACTTAACAGCTTTTAAAGCTGTGGAACAAACTTCCAAGGGAGGTTGTGGACTCCTCATCACTGATGGTTTTTAAAAACAGGTTGGACAAACACACCTGTCGGGAATAATCTGGGTTTACTTGATCCTGCCTCTATGGACAGGGCAGGAGTAGGCACTAATTCTGAAAGGGGCTAACTTCACAAAATTCTGAAGTGGCCCCAGGCCACTCCGGAAGATGCATGGCCTCGAGCAGAAGGGGCGGAGCCAGGAGATTTCCCATGCTCTCCTGCTCACAGATCCTGATTGGCCTGGGGATAGGGGAGCGCAGGAAGTCTTTGCCCCCCACCCTCCCACCACACCTAGGGAGAGCCACCAGCTGTTTTGAACAGCTGGAAGTTCCCTCTAGGCGCTGCATACTCCTGGAGGCGGGAGATTTTACACTCTCTCCTGCTCCCATGCCAATCAGGGCCTGGGGGTGGGAAAGCTCATTAAGTCTTTGCCCTCTGCCCCCACCTTGCAAGGGGTGCACGGTGCCTAAAGTGAACTCACAGCTATTCAACAGCTGACAGTTCTCTTTAGGCAACGCATGCCCCTGGTGGAGGGAGGAGACTTTGCATTGTCCCCTGTTCCCAGGTCTCAATTACCATAAGGGCAGCAACAGGGTGGCCTCAAACTGGATCAATCAGCTTAGTGGGCTGGATCCGGCCCACAGAGGCTGTCTTGCTCACCCTGGCATAGGGCTTGACCTGATGTCCCTTCCAGTCCCACATTTCTATGATTCTAAACTCCTGAGGCCCATTATGTACAATACTGTAGAAACACAGATTGGTAAATAGTCCCTGCCTAGAGATTTTATAATCTAAAAAGACAAGGGTAAAAAGGGGGATATAGCACAAGCAGAATAAAAAATGCGGTGGGCTGAGAACATCATGTTAGTGCAATGGTTTTTCTACACTTCTGGGCACTGGTCTGTTACAATTAGCTAAATGGAAAGACAAGGGAAAGGGGAAGCAGGAGGGAGAAAGAGCAGGGAATAAAAAAAATGAATGAAGGAAGTGGGAATGAGAGGAAGAATTGTCCAGTGGCTAGGGCACTAACCTAAGATTTGGGAAAGTCAGCTTCAATACCCTGCTCTGCCACTGGCTCTCTAGCATTGGGCAAGTCACTTAAGACACTAAGGAACAGTCTATCTTTAAAATGGGAACAACAACCCTACCTCATGTGGGTTTTTCCAGGATCACTGTATTTAAGACTGTTATGAGGTGCTCAGATATTAGGTTGATGGAAGCCATTTAAGTGACTTGAACAGAAAGAAAGTGTAGTGGTATGTCAGCTTTGGGAGGAGAAAGTAGTTCTTTGTTCTTACAGCTGTTGCTTCCCAGCTGTGTCCTCAACCTCCTTCGGTCTGAGACGTGTTCTAAACTTAACTCTTTAGTCGAACTAGCTCAGAATTGCCTACACTACAACACTACAGAAGCTCCATGGCAGTGTAGTAGTTGTGCCAATATAGCATCTATAGTGTAGACATAGCCTGATTCTCCCTTGTCCACTACCAAAATCCTCTCAGAGGTCTTTAGTTACTGCATTATAGCCAGATCCCAGACTTCACACTCTTTGAGCCCTCTTTTGCTTCCAAGAAGGTGGGGCAACACATGTTTTGACATCTTATCCTTTCTTGACGTCTCGGACTTCATCCGTTTCTTGTTTTCCCAATACCCTGGATTTCTCCTTCAGTATCTCTCCAGGGCTATGTCTAGACTACATTCCTCTTTCGAAAGAGGAATGCAAATTAGGTAAATCGAAAGTGCAAATGAAGCATGGATTTAAATATCCCACGCTTCATTTGCATATTCGTGTCACAGCGTTCTCAAAAAAGGGTTTTTTGAAAATGAAAGTGCAGTCTAGACAAGATTCTTTAAAAAAAAAAAAAACCTTTCAAAAGAACCTGTACTCCTGAAAACAATGAGGAGTACGGGTTCTTTAGAAAAAGTGCTTTACTTGCACTTTCAATTTGCCTAATTTACATTCCTCTTTCAAAAGAGGAATGTAGTTTAGACATGCCCTAGGTGCGTATCTTCCTTCTCCTCAGCCACTGTGCATGAGGGCTTACACAGGCACCACCATCTCTACTTTGCATACCTTCTCTCTCATTAAAGGTAGAGCTTTAATTACCATCTTGATGAGGATGACTCGCAGATTTATTTTTCCCATCCAATCCTGACCATCTGTTTGTTGCTCTAACTTCTTCCCCTGGATGTCTGGTGCAGGGGCTCAACCTGAAATTTCCTAAGACAGGGACCACTGGAGAGATTGTAACCATCCAGGGCTTCTTGTCCCCAGATCCACCAAAGAGATCAAGACGACCTGGCCCTCTTCTCCACTTCTGCTCTTTCTTGGTGAGATTTTCTATTCCCCACTCTATCATCTTGGAAGTCATCTTCAAGCCTTTTCCAAAACTCTCACACATATT